AGAAAAAGTGCGTGGGAGGTAACTTTTTCAGATCTTACGTGTGTAACTATACCTAGGTCTATCCTCACATTTAGATAGTAATTCAGGCTGGGGCTAGAACCTCAGTGGGAATTTTTCTTTAGACGTTTGAAGGCTCGGCTGCATTTCTTCTAGTTTCCAGTGTTGCTATTGAAATGTTGACTTTATTTGTGTGCTTGATTTGTTGCATTAAACCTATTTTTACCCTTTTAGAGCCTCATAAGGTCAGCTATCTGTGCCGAGTGCTCCGAAATGTGGTCATGCTGTGTCTGGGCTCGAGTCTCTTCCACTTGTTGTGCTAAGCATTGGCAGCCCCTCTAACGTTCTGGGAAATAGGAAATGTTCTTTAATTACTTTATACCCTTCATTCTTAAAATTTTGTATTTCTGGAACTCTTTTTTTTTTGAAACAGAACCTCAAGCTGTCCCCTTGGGTAGAGTGCTGTGGCATCACAGCTCACAGCAACCTCCAACTCCTGGGCTCAAGCGATTCTCCTGCCTCCACCTCCCAAGTAGCTGGGACCACAGGCACCCGCCACAATGCCCGGCTATTTTTTGGTTGCAGCCATCATTGTTGTTTGCGGGCCCAGGCTGGATTCAAGCCTGCCAGCTCAGGTGTATGTGGCTGGCTCCTTCACCACTTGAGCCACAGGTGCTGAGCCTAGAACTGTTTTTTCATAAATATTGGGCCTTCTGATCTGATCCTCTTCTTTTTTCTTTTTCCCATTTTTACTTTTTTTATTTCTTTGGTTCTAATTTTCTTTTTTTTTTTAGAGTCTCACTGTATTTCCCTTTGTACAGTGCTATGGCATCTCAGCTCACTCTTGGGCTTAAGAGATTCTCTTGCCTCAGCCTCCCATCTAGCTGAGACTACAGGCGCCCACCACAATGCCCCTCTATGTTTTGGTTGTAGTTGTCATTGTTGTTTAGCAGGCCCAGCCGGGTTCAAATCTGCCAGCTCCAGTGGATGTGGCTGGAGCCCTAGCTGCTGATCTACAGGTACCAAGCCTTATTTTCTTACTTTCTGTTAAGTCTTTCATCTCCATGATTACTTTTTTATTTCTAAAATATCTTTTTTCATACTCTGAGTGATTTTTTTGCATCTTATTTTATGGGTTCACTAACCTTTCTAGATCTCTCTAAGGACATTGATGCCATCTTCCCCGGCTTTCTTTTCCATGCACAGTCTGTCTGTTGGGGCCTCTGTCTTCACACTGGAAGATTTCCCCACATGCCTGCTCATCTTTGGCTGTCACTCTGCTCACATTTAAGAGCAGGGCGAGCTGCCTGGGGGACTGTGTCACATGGGTAGGGCTCCATCACTGTGGCTTCAGCATTGGGTGATGTTACTAAGCCATGCTTTGGAGAGACTCCATGTCATCCTCTGTAGACATGTTCCCCTGGGCTGGTCAGCATCCTCCGAGAAGGCTTTTTCAAATCCTCTTACTGGAATTCTCTCTCTCTTTTTTTTTTTAGAGACAGAGTCTCACTATGTGGCCCTCAGTAGAGTGCTGTGGAGTCACAGCTCACAGCAACCTCCAGCTATTGGGCCTAGGCGATTCTCTTGCCTCAGCCTTCTGAGCAGCTGGGACTACTGGCACCCACCACAATGCCTGGCTATTTTTTGGTTGCAGTTTGGCTGGGGCCAGGTTTTGGGGTTGGCACCCTACTCACTGAGCCACAGGCACCACCCACCTACTAGAATTCTAATAGCCAAGCAAGGGGAGACACACGGGGGTTTCAACATTCACTTTTCCTCTTTGTTCCCTGTAATACTCTAGGCCTTAATTTACCCTAGAGAGTAATTTCTAGTCCTTTTCCCTGGTGGTGAGGAGTGGTCACCTGGAGTCTGGGGACTCTGGCCTGAAAAGCATTTCTGTCTCTTCTCACTTGCCGTCACTCCACTGCAGAGGAACCTGACACCACCAATTCCAGGTGCTTTAGAAGTTGCTTCCTGGCAGTTTTCTGCTAATCTGAGGTTTTTGAGTCTGCCGCCAGTTAGCTCGCACCCTCTGCTTTTCAGCCTCCAAACCTTCCCTGGTACCTTGTCCCTCGGTTATAGAGGCTAGGCAGGCTCAGGAGAGACCTTCATATTTCCCCTTTACTCCCAGAGAGGATGTGTCTCTGCTTTCTCCTTTTTCAGAGTGCATTTGTTTCTGATTCACTCACTGGTGAGGTCACCTTTCAGGGAACTGTAGTGTTTATGGGATTGTTGGTCTAATTTGCAGTTTTTTGTTTTTTTGTTTTTTTGTTTTTTTACTGTAGATATTTCTGTAGGGAAGGGAACACCACACTTCTACTTAACAAAGAGAAACATTTTTTTTTTAAAGATGTAAGATCTACATCTTTTTTCTTTTTTTCTTTTTTTTTTTTTTGAGACAGAGCCTCAAGCTATCCCCCTTGGTAGAATATTGTGGCATCACAGCAACCTCTAATTCCTGGGCTCAAGTGATTCTCCTGCCTCTGCCTCCCAAGTAGCTGGGACTATAGGCGCCCGCCACAGCACCCGGCTATTTTTTGGTTGCAGCCGTCGTTGTTGTTTGGCGGGCCCGGGCCAGATTCGAACCCACTAGCTCAGGTGTATGTGGCTGGCGCCTTAGCCACTTGAGCCACAGGCACCAAGCCAAAGAGAAAGATTTTTGTAGCCCAGAGTTCCTTTATTTATTTATTTATTTTATACTTATTATGCCACCAATTCACAGGGAGCAGGATCCAGCCCCACACTGTTCTCACACAGTGAGCTTCTCTGGGTGGGGCAGGGGTACTTCAAGTGAACCCAAGCACCTTTCTCTTGGTTTTCTTCCCTGTTAATCATTCCTTCCTTGTTTCTGGAAGGTATCTGGGCTCTTAGGGTGCTTAATGTGCTTAATACTCACATTAATTCTCTAGCCAAGACTCTCTTTTACAATGCCAACAGCAGGTGTCATGGTGACACCTGGAGGGCACTCTGTTTTGAACAGCGCCCGTTCCCTGCTGTCTGCAATATCCCCTTTCTTGCAGATTTGCATGTATGGACTCTCCTCTTTCCCTGTGTTGGCCATTTTGGTGACTTTCTGGAAGATGGCGGTTCTGCTAACTCCCACCTTTTACGGCTTAGACTTGTTCTCTTGTCTCCCGCATATGCAACTCACTGGACCCCAAGCTCGGGGCCACGGACAGGCAGATGCCACAGGACAATTAGCAGCTGCAGAGCTCACCTCCCTGGGTTCACTCTCTTACCCTTTGGGGCTCTGAGGATCTTCTTTACTCTCCTTTTAGCTTGACATGCTTTAAAAATGTTTTTAAAAACATGAAAATATGGCTCAGTGCCTATGGCTCAAGCAGCTAAGGCGCCAGCCACATACACCTGAGCTGGCAGGTTCGAATCCAGCCCGGGCCCGCCAAACAACAATGATGGCTGCAACCAAAAAATGGCCAGGCGTTGTGGCGGGCGCCTGTGGTCCCAGCTACTTGGGAAGTAGAAGCAGGAGACTCTGTTGAGCCCAGGAGTTGGAGGTTGCTGTGAGCTGTAATGCCACGGTATTCTACACAGGGTGACAGCTTGAGGCTCTGTCTCAAAAAAAAAAAAAAAAAGAAAAGAAAAGAAAAAGAAAATAATAAATATAAAAAGTTATGTTTGGGAATTGTATTATGAAAGCTATGTTTAGGAATTGTATCATAAAAGCTATGTTTGGGAACTCTGTCATAGGGAGTTTCCACAGACCTTGGGTCCACTTTACTGCAGACCGCGCACAGCCCAGGGAGTGTTTGTGCAGTGCTCCGGGGAGGTTTCCCTCAGCAGCCTGAGAAGCTCCCTGTGAATGGCACGTGTCAGGGGCCGTGGGGAGTGGTGGCAGAGTGTGTGAAAAGCTTGGGTTTGAAGCTCTTTTTGGTGAGTCATGCTTTCAGAAGGGAAGTATGGGTCTTCTGGTCACAAACTAAAGCTGTGAGGTGGCTGCCAGGCTTCCCCCAGCCTGTCTGGGGTACAGGTCATGTTAGGTATTAGGAGTCCTGGCCCTGATGCTGGATTTTGACACGAGTTGAGGAAGTGGCATCCATCCCTCTCCATGTGGATTTTGTGAGGACTTACTTTGCTTAATGAGGTATCAGTTTACATAACAGGTATGCAAGGACCTTTGTTCCTTTTTTTTTTTTTCAAATCAGTGTTCATTAGTGTTTCTGCATTTACTGTGTGACCCAAGACAACTCTTACTCTTCCAATGTGTGTCAGAAAAAAACAAAAAAAAGTTGGACACCCCTGAAGCATAGGCCTAAAAACGCCTCTGATGTATAGCATGAAAGCAGGTGTCCTATGAGACTGTGTGAAGCATTTCATGGCCACGAACACTAGCAGCTCTGTGAGGGAAACCCATCAGCGTGGGCACCCGTCACTGCCATTTGGCCTGTATGACCCAGAATCACAGGGCTCAGCGCAAATTCATGAGCAGCAAACGAGTGACAGCAGCCTTCTCAGATGTTATTTCTTCTACTGTTCACTTTTCCTCCATGCATGGAATGGAAGTAAGATCAAGCCTTGGCCACGTTTGACCTCAGGTCCCATTAGTTTTCATTTATAGTCAAGATCTGGTCAAGAAGTTAACCGTAGACAAGCTGGGAGGATTGGGCTAGTCAGTGGGGAAATGGCTCTTTATGGTTGGATGCTTCTACCCACCCACTGATCCTGCTCCTGGGGATATGGCAGAGGGCAAGTGGGCAATTGATGGCCCCAGACATTTTCCAGGGAAGTGTTCTGCTTTGCAAAATCCTATGTTGTGAAACCAACCGTTTTAACTGGTTTTTCTTTCTTCTGTGACATGACTATTTCTCCAGTCACAGAGAACATCACTGCAGCTGATCTGGTTTTCATATAAAAAGGTGTCAGAATCATTTTAAATGTCTTCCAACTGCAGAGTATTGGCTGGTTCCCTTCGCACACACGTGCACTTCCTTCCACGTCCTGACTGTGCCGTCCGTGCCACCCACTCACTCTGGTTTTCTTCACAGGTACTGCGATTGCTTTGCCAGTGGGGACTTTTGCAACAACTGCAATTGTAATAATTGTTGCAACAATTTGCGTCATGAAATCGAACGGTTTAAAGCCATTAAGGTAATAAATTTCCATTAAATACATGCATTTTAAAAAGTATTCAAGGCTCAGGGCCTGTAGCTTAGCGGCTAGGGCGCCAGCCACATACATCAGAGCTGGAGGGTTCAAATCCAGCCCAGGCATGCCAAACAACAATGACAACTACAACCAAAAACTAGCCGTGCGTTGTGGCAGGTGCCTGTAGTCTCAGCTACTTGGGAGGCAGAGGCAAGAGAATCACTTAAGCCCAAGAGTTTGAGGTTACTGTGAGCTGTGACACCACGGCACTCTACTGAGGATGACATACTGAGTCTTTGTCTCAAAAAAAAAAAAGTAAAGTAAAAACAAACCAATCAAGATAAAGAGGTGCATGAGTTGGTTGGGCACAATGACTCGCCTCTATACACTCTGGGAGGCCAAGGAGGGAGGATTGCCTGAGCCCAGGAGTTCAAGATCAGCCTAGGCAACATAGAAAAACATCTACAAAATTTTTAAATTATCTAGGTGTTGGGCGGCACCTATGCTTCAGTGGGTAGGGCTCCGGCACCATATACCAAGGATGGCAAATTTGAACCCAGCCCTGGCCAAACTGCAACAACAGCAAAGAAAATAGCCAGGTGTTGTGGTGGGCGCCTGTAGTCCCAGCTACTCGGGAGGCTGAGGCAAGAGAACCACTTAAGCCCAGGATTTGGAGGTTGCTGTGAGCTGTAACGCCACAGCACTCTACCAAGGGCGATAAAAAATATATATATATCCAAGTGTTGTGGCACATGTCTGGATTCCCAGCTACTTGGGAGGCTTAGGTGGGAGAATTGCTTAAGCCCAGGAACTTGAGATTGCCCTGAGCTATGACTGTGCCCCTGCACACCAGGCTAAGTGACCCAATAACACACTGTCTCTAAAAAAAATTATGTTTATTGTGTGAGAAAGGCATAGCCAGTGGTTGGTTGAGCCCCTGGGCTCTGAAGTCAGCATGGGGACTTTGAATCTGGATCCCACCCTATACCATCTATTATTTAACCTCTTGGTGTCTGGTTTCTCCATCTGTAAGACAGCAAAAACAGCAGTAGTTTTGTTTATTTTTTGAGATAGAGTCTCACTTTGTCACCTTGGCTGGAGTTCAGTAGTATCATGATAGCCCCCTACAACCTCAAACTTCTGGGCTTAAGCAATTCTCCCACCTGAGCCTGGCTGATTTTTCTATTTTTATAGAGACAGGGCCTTGCATGGGGTGGAAGAGTGGTAGGTTTTTTGTTTGTTTGTTTGCTTTTTTGAGACGGAGCCTCAAGCTGTCACCCTGGGTAGAGTGCCTTGGCATCACAGCTCACAGCAACCTCCAACTCCTGGGCTCAAGTGATTCTCCTGCCTCCGCATCCCAAGTAGCTGGGACTACAGGCACCTGCCACAATGCCCAGCTATTTTTTGGTTGCAGCCGTCATTGTTTGGCAGCCCGGGCTGGATTCGAGCCTGCTACCTCAGGTGTATGTGGCTGGTGGCTTAGCTGCTTGAGCCACAGGCGCCGAGCGGGAAGAGTGGTAGTTTTTACTTCCCGAGGTTGCTGAGAGGATTAACTGAGAGAATATGTCCATATAAATCACATAGAAAGATGTGGGGTGTGGTGTGTTCTGCCGTGTCCAGTCAGGGTGAGCTGTCAGTAGAATGTCATGATCCCTCCACTGTCTCAGGAAATAAGCCCCAGAAATGCAGGAAGGGAAGATGTCCTTATAGAAACATGATTTTCTTTACACTTTTACTATCCATTAATTTTCTACAGTGAATATATAACTTTGAAACTGGGAAAACAAGCAAAGCATAGAGAAACTGTGGCTACAGTAAATCTTTATGTGTGGAAGTGGGCTCGGCGCCCGTAGCACAGTGGTTACAGTGCCAGCCACATATACCGAGGGTGGTGGGTTCAAACCCCACCCAGGCCAGCTAATCAACTGTAACAAAAAAATAGCCGGGCATTGTGGCAGGTGCCTGTGGTCCCAGCTACTTGGGAGGCTGAGGCAAGAGAATCACTTAAGCCCTAGAGTTTGAGGCTGCTGTGAGCTGTGATGCCACCGCACTCTCCTGAGGGTGACATAGTGAGACTCTGTCACACACACAAAAAAAGTGTGGAAGTGAATTAAAATGAAACAAAGAGGGATATACCTCTTTGAGGAAACTCACTGCTCTCTGTGGTGCCTTCCAAAATCACAAGTGAATTCACATGAGAAGCCTTCCATTGAACATTATTTTTGAATAATAAAGCACATATTTCTTTTTTAGTTGAATATCATTGTATTTATCTTAAAAACAATTTATGTATTGTAAGACTATTACTTATTATATTAGTTATTGTTCATTATTACTATTATACATGTATACAGAAGTATATTTTAGTTATAAGGCACATCTTGATGGAGCTTCCCATTCTTCTATCCTAGGCATGTCTTGATAGAAATCCAGAAGCTTTCCAGCCAAAAATCGGGAAAGGCAAGTTGGGAGACGTGAAGCCTAGACATAACAAGGGCTGTAACTGTAAGAGATCAGGCTGCCTTAAGAATTACTGCGAGTGCTATGAGGTTAGTAGCCGAGCACCGTGGGGAGCCTGTGGTCCCAGCCACTCCCACTCGGGAGGCTGAGGTAGGGGGGTCGCTTGAGCCCAGGAGTTTGATTCCAGCCTGGGCAACATAGCAAACTCCTATCTCAATAAAACAAAACATCCCCCCAACCCCAAACCACAACACCAACAAAAAACTGAAGGTAAGTATTTAAATATTTTGGCCTAAATAACTTCGTTTGTGATTGAAAAACTTTACCATAACTTTAAAAGAAAAATATAATTATTTCCTTCTGCTCAAGGATTCTAAAAGGGTACTCATATTACTCTGCATCAAGTGAGTCAACTGAGGGCCCCTTCTGGAGCACGTGGCATCCCCAGAGCCCGCCCTTGAGTGCCCAGCACGGGGACCCTGCTGTGACTTTCCCCCTCTGTGCTGCCCATCTACGTGGGGAGCCCTCTCCCGAGGCTCCCAGGGCTGTGCCTCTGCCTCTCTGAGCAGAGCAAGGACTCCCTGGGTGAGGCCACGGAGTATGTTCAGTCTCCATCTGCTCCAGGTCCCGGTGGCACTTGCCCGCTAGCACCCATTTGCCCAGGAACTTTGACTGGGGGCGCTCCTCCCCAACTCGCAGGCCGGGCACAGGCCAGGGTGGGCAGTCAGCTGAGCTGACAGACACGGACAGAACAAGGTACAGATGAATCTAGGACAGGAGCTCCGTCTTTTTCTCAAGGACTTGGTGACAGCAAAGGGACTAGCTTTCCCCTTCCCTTCACCTTTCCTTGTCCTCCACTCTTATCTCTTTTTACCCTTTGTTGAAGGAAAGGAAAAAAGGGAAAAGGCAGGAACCTTCAAGCCCTGTCAGTGAAGCCTGAGAAAACCTTCCTTGAAAGCCTCTCTTTTTGCTAGGTTGCGGTTTTCTGGAGTTACTTGTGAATTTTACTTTTGAAAGGTTATCACAGAAAGTCAGGCTTCAGAAAAGCCTGGGACTCTAGGGACACACATTGGAAGGTCTGAGTCAGTGGACTCGGCAATCCCCCAGCTAGGATTTTGAAAAGACAGTCAAAAATACTATAGAGGTAAGAATTCAGACAGTGAAGGGCGTGACCCGATGGGACACTTTTAGATGTACCCACAACATCTCCTCTGCTCTGTCAGGTGTCCCCATGGCTGCCACAAAACAGTGACATGGCCCACTTTCTGCAGGCCAAGCCTGTTCTGGGCATGGCCCACGTGATATGCCAGCCCAGAGGAGAGACAGTATTGTCTTTTAGGCTTTGTCATTAGGGTAGACTAGAAACCCTGAAAAACCTGCTTTGAAACACCAGAGGTGTGAGTAAAACAGGACAGACACCCTTGGAGATGCACCTCTGAGATGGGAAGAGCTAAGGGAAATGTCAGGACTGAAGGAGAGAAGAAGCCGAAACCAGGTGCCGGTGCCTCCTTTCCACTCCCCTAGGGCCTGCACAAGCCCAGGTGGGCTCTGTGTGCAGCTGGGACACCCCAGCCCCCAGAACATGGCATTGCCAGGAGAGACTAAACATAGAATCCACTGCAGGGAAGCAGGAGTTGTCTCCCCTGAGAATGCCTAACCCTGCCTGCTCTGGGGGTAGGTTCAGATTCATCCTGCCTGTACCTTTTCTGCACCAGCTAGACCAGGGTGACACCCTCAGGTGGTGAGGGAGAGAGAGAGAGAGCCCTCAACCAAAGCAGCTTTATTCAAAACAAAGCCAAGTGAAGGAGTTTGCTGGCTCCCCAGTGAAGAAGGGAGAGTCACCCCCTCCCTCTGCTGGGCACTCACACTGCATTGTCAGCACTGTGTCCCCACATTAGCATCACGTGGAAATGAACCTTGCTCTGTCACATCACTGTCATTCGCTGCTCTTGGCTTCTGCTTTTTTTTTTCAATGAAAATTGCAGATCTCACACCCACACAAATATAAGCAAAGAATGATTTAAGGTCCAAACAGAACTTGTCACTTTTCAATGATCTGTAAGGCAACCTAATTATATCAAAGGATTTTATATTACCAGGCCAAAATTATGTGTTCTTCTATTTGCAAATGCATTGGCTGCAAAAATTATGAAGAAAGCCCAGAACGAAAATCTCTAATAAACATGCCAAACTACATGGAGACTGGAGGTTTCGAAGGCAGCCATCATTTGTCACCAACTAAACTTTCAGGACTTCCCAAATTCAGCAAAGATAGGTAGGTACTCTCTGAACTAAACCCTCCTAAAAGGGAAAAAGAGGTTAATCTGAGAGGAGAGTTAAAGGCAATTTGTAGGTTGCAGGGGTGAATGTGGGAGGAGGAGGAGGGGTCCCTTCCTCCTTCCCTCCTGGGGCTGATCTGTGTTTCCCTGGAGGGCCCCACTGGCTGCTAAACCCACTTTGTCCTTTCATCCTCTTGAGTCAGCCTTTGTGTCTTCACTGAGTCATCCCTCTTTTGTACCAGACACAAGGGCCCTGCCACCTAGCTTACTGACGGCCGGCCGTGTTCCCATGCTGTCTTTGAATTAACACAGAACCACCCCATGTGGTAAAGAGTGGTCTTCAGATGGCAGACACCTGCACTGCTCTTAGTTGTGGGAGTGACAGCAAAGGGATGCGTTCGGTACGTGTTGGGACCTTACCACAGTGACTGTGGGTCCAGACTGGTTGAATAGCTCTTCATTTAATTATAGTGTGGCTCTTCATATATTGAAGCCACACTATAATCCTAGTGGGTCTCAGGTTGAGCAATAATTTTTCTATATATTAGACTTCATTCACCCATTTCAAAACATTCTTTGAGTTCATTGTAATGGGTCATATCATGATAAAGCACCAGATGTCATTAATTAACTAATATCACTTTGTAAAGCCAAATTCATCCTTATTTGATTAGAGAGCATCGGACATACTCATCCTTGTGACCTGCAGAGGTCTTTAGCAGTAAAAATTTACCAAAATATGGCTGCATCTTCTGTGAAACAGTGTGTGAAGTATTGTCACCTGACACCAGGCTGCCATGTCTCGTGGAGTGTGGTTGGGGACCACACACTGGAGTCTGGGCTCGCTGAGTCACGGCTCCTACTCCCTGAGGGAAGCCCTGTCCTTTCATCCTCAACAAAAATCATCGTGTATTATATTTGTAGAACAATGTTAACAAATCTTGGGTGGCATCTGTGGCTCAGTGAGTAGGGCACCAGCCCCGGCCAAACTGCAACACAAAAATAGCCTGGCGTTGTGGCAGGCACCTGTAGTCCCAGCTACTCAGGAGGCTGAGGCAAGAGAATCACCTAAGCCCAAGAGCTGGAGGTTGCTGTGAGCTGTGACACAACGCCACTCTACTGAGGGTGATAAAGTGAGACTTTGTCTCTAAAAAAAAAAAAATCCAGCATTTAGCTCTATTTTCATAAATCAGCACTTTTGGTCTTTTATGAAGTTTTTCTGAACGTTTTTCAGTAGGAGCACGACTTGGGTAGATGCCTCAAGCACAGTTGGCCCTGGAGTTCAGGGGGAAATGGCAGGTCCTGCTGGGACACAACGCAGGAGTGACTTGTCTCTTGAGACCTCTATAGAGGTTCAGAGGGCATCAGGGACAAGGCCATCCTGACCATATGACCCCAAGGCGTGCCGTGGAGAGTCCCCAGAGCCATTCAGCATTTCATAGCTCCAAATGTCCCTGTGCTTTTCTGATGGCTGACATCGCCCACAGGCCTCAGACCAAAGCTGGGAAGCATGTAAGGAGGGCTTTGTTTCCTCTGAGACCCACTTCCACAGTCCCCTCCCAGCCCGTGGGTTTGACATGGCAGCTCAGGACCCTCTGGGCTTGTTTGTCAGTAGACCTAATTTTGAGAAAAGTTAGAACTGTCTTAAGAGGGATGTCAAGAAAATAACAGATTTACTTGTCCTCTGTGTTTTTCTAAAAGCAGTTAATAGTTGCTGGTATTAGGAAGACAGTGTTGGGTTTTATCTGCAACATTCTTTAAAACAGCAGTGTTCTGTTGCATGTTAACATACTCAGAATCATACAAGCAGTGTTCTATTGCATATGAAAGATACTCAGAACAGTGAGCTGGTGAGCGCAGCCTGTAACTAGTCTGTTTCTAACAGGCGACCTTCCTCCTGCATCTCCTGGGAGGTGGTGGAGGCCACCTGTGCCTGCCTGCTGGCTCAGGGCGAGGAGGCGGAGAAGGAACGGTGCTCCCAGTGCCTGGCGGAGCAGATGATCCTGGAGGAATTTGGAAGGTGCTTATCACAGATTCTGCACATTGAATTTAAATCCAAGGGGCTGAAAATTGAGTAGAGTACCATGTACCATTCTGTGAGCACAGATCAGTTTTTCCCAGTAGTCTGAGGAAGGCTCTAGTTAGGAAGGTCATCCAGGAACACAGGCTAGGGCCGCAGCCGCCACAGGTGGTCAACACCAGCCATCCCTGTGCATTCAGAGCTCTCTAAAGGATGTGATGAAAAAAAAAAAGCTCCCTGTTTTGAGGAAGGTGTGACACCCTTTGGCCCAGAGTTGACCTGAGAGGATGTCTGCCTGAGCAGGAGCCAGGGGATCAAGCAACAGGTGGCCTCATCCTCTGAGAGCTTTCCTCTGAAGCCTCCCTGTACAAAAACTAATGTTCCTTGTTTGTTTTTCAAATTATTTAATAACTTATTTGCATGGACTGTTATGATGCAACTTAAACTCCCTGGGAATTTCTGAACATCCAAAGAATTTCTGTAGGGTAGACATTTCTCCTCCACCCCCCAGGAGAACAAGTTGTCCTTTCCCAGGGCTGGGGAGACAGTGGGTTGGGCCCGGCCGTGGGAGCAGTGTCTTGAGTTACAGGATTTACAATTACCTAGTTTGTTACATGTTCCTAATTGAATTGTGGAAAAGCTCCATTACCCAATTAACTTCTCCATAATTATTGTTATAATATTGTTATTGTTTGTAAGATATAGTTAAAAAATAACTAGCTTGTAGAAACCAGCAGGTAAGCTTAAATGTAAAGTTGACTCTTTCGGTTCTATTGTAAAAGTAAAGATGAATAAAAATTTCTAATGTCTTCAACTTTGTAATTAACTTAGTTATACATACCCTCCCTGCAATATGTTGAAATAATGTTCTCTTGTGTTTCTCTGTTCATTAATAGTATTGGCCATTTAAGGAATATTTAGGAAACTCGGGTACAATGCCCCAGAGGAGGAAATCTGGCTGTAGGGCCGGCCCCAGGCATATCAGGAGGCAGGAGCCAGGAGTAGGTGGCAGTTTGCTGAGCTGTGTTTGCAATAGCCTGGTGGCTGCAGTGAAGAAAAGGGAATACTTGATTCTTCTCCTTTGCACCCCCCTTTTGACCCATCAACACCAGAGGTGCAGGCAAGTGTGGGCTCAGCCAGGAAGGAGGGAGGAGCCTCCCATTACCCTTTGCCCTTGGGGTGGGAAGGTGACCTGAAAGGGGGGCTTCTGAGCCACTTGGGGGGGGGGGTTTCCTTCCTTCTGGTGTCCTTCTCAGCAAAGTTGCCAGCAGCAATATTTGTGGCTACATGGGTTAGTTTACATTTTCTAGTAGCTACACTTTAAAAATTGAAGAGACAGGCTACCTTTGATGACCCCCAGAGCACATGTGTAACTGGGGCTGCCGGCCCTACCTGTTTGTGAGCTGGGCTGGGACTCAGGCTGGGCAACTTCCCGGGGGTTTACTTAGTTGGACTTAGGCCTCAGCTCTTCCACCAGGACTGAAATGTCCTCATGACAGAGACACCGTACTCTGCCGCACAGCAGTGCCCACCTGTGCTCACAAGCACACCTCTGTCCTCCCCAAGTTTCATGGGGTGGGCTGTGCTCTCTGGCAAGTCCCACACCATCATCCCTTTGTGGTCAGTGCGAGACATGCAGGTTCAGCTGGAGACAGCAAGGGAGGAGGGCAAAGGGCTACTCTAGTGTACTTGACGGGAGCTGGTTTGGTCCAAAGCTGCATGAGCTTTAACTCCTGGCTAAAGTGCAATCACAACCTAGTTACAAATCCTCCCATGCAAGTAAACTGCTTATTTGGGTATTGTGAAAAAACTAAATGGAAATAGAACAGGTGGAATTAGTTTTAATAATCTTTTATTTATCCCAGTATATTGAAAATACTATCATTTCAATGTGTAATCAAAATGAAAATGATTGAGATATTTCAGATTGTTTTGTATGTACCAAATCTTTGAAATTCAGTGTGTATCTTAAATTCTAGCACATCACAATTCACACTGGCTGCATTTTCAGAATTCAGGAGCCTTGGTGCCACCCATGTAGAAGGAGGGGCGGGCAACAGTACCCTCCAGCACTATTCTGAGGCAGAATAGTTCAGCTGCCTACCAGGCTGAGGATGAGGGAGATGAGGGAAGAGGAGTCCTCAGGTGGTGCTGGGCATGCACCCCATTGCATGGGAGCCCGCCCGAGATCCTGGGCCCCTGTGGGATCACCCTGACTGTACCAGATGCACAGAGCTAAGGACCTGCAGGAAGGCACCACCCCTCCAGGGTTCCTCAGCAGAGAAGAACTTAGGGAGTGGCTACAGTTTGCAGGGCAGTGATTTTCAACCAGTGTGCCATAAGAAGATCTTAGATGGGCTCGGCGCCTATAGCTCAACTGGCTAAGGCACCAGCCACCTACACCTAAGGTGGCGGGTTCGAATCCCCAGCCTGGACCCGCCAAACAACAATGACGGCTGCAACCAAAAAATAGCCGGGCGTTGTGGCGGGCGGGCGCCTGTGGTCCCAGCTACTTGGGAGGCAGAGGCAGGAGACTCGCTTGAGCCCAGGAGTTGGAGGTTGCTGTGAGTTGTGATGCCATGGCACTCTACCCAGGGGGATAGCTTGAGGCTCTGTTTCAAAAAAAAAAAAAAAAAAAGAAGATCTTAGATGGGCCATAATTTTTTTTTTCGTGAGATAGAGCCTCAAGCTGTCGCCTTGGGTAGAGTGCGGTGGCATCACAGCTCACAGCAATCTCCAGCTCCTGGGCTTAACCGATTCTCTTGCCTCAGCCTCCCAAGTAGCTGGGACTTCAGGCACCCACCACAACACCCAGCTATTTTTTGGTTGTAGTTGTCATTGTTGTTTGGCAAGCCTGGGCTGGATTTGAACCTGCCAGCTCTGGTGTATATGGCTAGCGCCTTAGCCGCTTGAACTACAGGTGCTAAGCCAGTATATTCTTTTTTTTTTTTTTTTGCCAGTATATATTTTTTTAACTTTCTTTTGTTGGAGACAGAGTCTCACTCTGTCACCTTAATTAGAGTGCGTGGCATCATAATAGCTCACAGCAACCTCGAACTCCTGGGTTTAAGTGATCCTCTTACGGCTCCCAAGTAGCTGGGACTACAGGTGCCTGCACAACACCCAGCTAGTTTTTCTATTTATAGTAGAGATGGGGTCATATTCTTGCTCAGGCTGGTCTCAAACACCTGAGCTCAAGCAGCCCACCTGCCTTGGCCTCTCAGAGGGCTGGGATTTCAGGCAGGAGCCACTGTGCCTTACCCTCTTCTACTCTTCCTTTGATCAGCGTAATTTAAGTGTGCCATGAAAGTTTAACTATAGGTTCAAGTGTGTAGTGAGATAAAAAAGGCTGAAAACACTGCTGTAGAGTTCAGTAGCGGAAGTGAAAGCTGAGCTGCAGCTGTGTGGAGGCCCCTGGACTGGGCAGCGATCTCAGTTCCATAGGGTGACTACAGAGATTTAAAAGCGCTCATGTTTTGGGCTGGCGCCTGTGGCTCAAAGGAGTAGGGTGCCGGCCCCATATGCCGGAGGTGGTGGGTTCAAACCCAGCCCCGGCCGAATACTGCTTTAAAAAAAAAAACATACTCATGTTTTTTGTTTCTGGTGGCAGCTAATGCTATCCTAAGGCAACATAGAATAAAGCCGTCATGTCCTTCTTTGAGGGTGTGGCTGTGCAGATTTGTCCACCTCTGATCTTTCCTCTTTGAGCTGGCAGCTCGGGCCCCTTGATGATTAAGGTCGGCTCTCTGCTGTCTTGCTGATCTAGGAGAACACCTTGTCTTCTCAAAGATAGAAATCACAGAGACAAAATGACACATGCTGAAGATTTTCTTTCCTATCAGTGAACACAAGGTGGTTTACAGCAGAAACCTTGGCAGCAAGTGAGCCGTCCTGAAGAGAAAACTTTGCCTGGGCTGCAGAATTTCGCAGAAGCACCTTGCAGTCTTCACCGTGGGTCCCATGCACCCTTATTTTGTTGTTTTTTTGTTTTTTGGAGACAGAGTCTCACTATGTTGCCCTCAGTAGAGTGCTGTGGGGTCACAGCTCACAGCAACCTCAAACTCTTGGGCTTAAGAGATTCTCTTCTCTCAGCCTCCCAAGTAGCTGGGACTATAGGTGCCCACCACAACACCCAGCTATTTTGTTGTTGTTGTTGTAGTTGTCATTGTTGCTTAGCAGATCTGGGCCGGTTCAAACCCACCAGCCCCAGTGTATGTGGCCAACACCCCAACCACTGAGCTACGGGTGCCAAGCTGGGTCCAGTGCTCTTTATCCCTTTATAAAACCTCAGCCTGACCCCTGAAGTCCTGCCAGTGTCTAATTTCGGGGGGGGGGGTTTAGGAGGGGCATAATTAAAACCCTAATAAACAAGTTCTCATGTGGAGTAAGTTAAAATACCAGTTTAGGAAATTGAAAGGTTGAGTCTTCAAGATAAAGAAAGAAGTTAAGAGAATTCAGAGCACAGCAGGTTGGGGGCAGAAGGGGAAGGAGGGAAGTGGGAGCCCATCCTGCAGGTGGAGCTCTCCTTAGAGTGGGCATGGGGGACAGAGTGACAAGCCTGGGGCCTCTGAGAAGGAGAGGTGCCGAGTGGCAGTTCCTTGCCGCAGCCCCTGCCCCTCTTCCCTCTCCCTGCCCCCACGCAGAGGTAGGAGCAGTATGGAGTGCTGCCTGGCTCTGGCCCCTCGTCCCCAGCAGACAAGGTAGTTCTTCCTGCTTGAATATCTGAGGTTTTCCTCTGTCCCACAGAAATGCTGAAGCTTGTCCACCCTGTCAGGGCTGTTGTGCCACTTAGAATGTGCTTTTTAAATTGTATGGCTCCTTAACACAATGAACTATAGACCATTACTTGACGACTGAGAAACACTGGATTCCTTGTTTCTGACTGTCCACTGACTTCAAAACGTGTCACAACAATCTCACTTTTGCATCATAATCAAGCAAAAGTTTCATGGGCTGGACATTAGAAACTAATCTGCTCTCATCCTTTGTATCTTGCTAGGACTTTAATACCCCGTGTGAGGGTTTCCTTAGCCACCAGCACCCTCCCTTCCCTCTCTCAGCTCTTTTCCTCCTTCCTCTGGGTGCTTCCCAAGTGCAAGACTCTTCCTCCTGGTCAGCCCTCCCCTGCCCCACCATGCCAGGCCGCAGACAGCAGCTCCCGGCTCCCTGTCCTGCCCTGGATTGAGCAAGTGAGGAGATGACAGGCTTTGATGTTGGTTGGCTTTGGCCACCTCCTGATTTCTCCAGCATGTGTAGCCAGCTCCACTTGTGTTCTCTCTGGGAAGAAGTCACTTTCTATAGTTCCTGAGAATTGTCACTTCACCCCTCAGTTGACCGGAAAATGGCATAGCTGCTCCTTGTCCCTCACTTCCTTCCCCTCACCTTCCAGCTGCCACCACCTGCCCCTCTCTTTATTCATAAAAGAAAGGAAAGATTTGGAGAAGGGAGTGTGAAGGAGGCAGAGGAGGGCCCAAGACAGCTGTGTACCACTGACCCCAGGCCACACATTTGTGTGATGGCCCGGCCCCTCACAGAGGCTACTCACAGGACTCCTGCGTGCCAGGTTGCCGCACTGGGAGAGGCCAGACCAGAGCTGTGTCAGGATGCTTTTTTTCTTAGGGGGCTACAGTTCAGGGAGGAGATCCAAACCCACAAGCAGAACTGAACTGACAAGGGTTCCCATCAGGGTGGCACTTCACACGCTGGGCACAGAGGGACAGGAGGCGCCCCGGACAAGGAGAATCCAGGCCAGAATCCTGCGGGATCCAGGGAGTTTCCCAGTCATTGGGAGAGACATGTACAAATGTCTTAGGTGGGCCCAGCTGCATACACCTGCAGCTGGACAGGCTTGGAGCAGTGAGGGCAGGAGGCTGGCACAGGTGAGGTGGGCTGTGTCCACGGGAAGAGGAGAGGATAGAAGGGGCTATAGGCTGGGGCCCAGAGCAAGTGGCTGAGCCATGGGACCTAGTTCAGTAGCAGCAGCTGCAGGGAGCTTGCTGGGAACACAATTCTGGCCCACCCAGTCTTCCTGGCCCAGACATGCTGGGGAGGGGCCCGGTCCCAGAGGCTCGTGTCTCAGTGAGGCCTCAGGGATCCCTATGCCTGCTCAAGTCAGAGGGGAAGAAAGTTAAGGGCATGAGAGGATAAACGACATGGTGAGGTGACAAAGAGTGAAGGGGGGCCCCAGGTGTTTAGACCAACAGGTGGGTGGCATCCATGTACCCCAAGCTGGGAGTGGATACCTGGGTCGGCAGCACAGGAGACTCAAGGCCACCAGAGCAGACTGGGATACTGGAGTGTGCAGTGTGCAGGAGCAGGGAAGAGCCAGGGAATGGCCCATGGAAGGAGGGAAGGTGTGCTTGGCCCCAGCAAGTGTCCCTTGACACAGATCTTAGGCAGCGAACTACCAACAGGGGTGAGATGCAGAAAGACACCTGCCATTTCCACTCAACAGTCTGCTTTGGCTGACAGGCCTTCAGGCCATCTTTCAACAGCACAGATGGCTGTGGGGCTCCTCTGCCCCACCTGGGCTCTTTTTGGGTCTTCTGGTATGATCTTTTATTTTGTTTTGTTTTGTTTTTTTGAGACAGAGCCTCAAGCTGTCCCCCTGGGTAGAGTGCCGTGGCTTCACTGCTCACAGCAACCTCCAACTCCTGGGTTCAAGCAAGTCTCCTGCCTCCGCCTCCCAAGTAGCTGGAACCACAGGTGCCCGCCACAGCACCTGGCTATTTTTTTGGGTTGCAGCCATTATTGTTGTTTGGCAGGCCCGGGCTGGATTCGAACCTGCCACCTTAGGTGTATGTGGCTGGCACCTTAGCCACTTGAGCCACAGGCGCCGAGCCGGTATGATCTTTTTCTTTCTGCTCAAAAGCCCTGTCTCTGTCACTTGAGGAGAGCTGTTTCTACACGCTCCCTTTCACACAGCATTCTCCAAGTGCAGGCATCCTGGGCTGTGAATATACGCACCTCTCTGCCCTGGCCGTCATCTCCCTGCCCTGCCCACGTCTGCTCCTCACTTACCACCTTGGCAAGCACCAGCTCACTCAGCTCTTACGTTCCTGGTGGGCGTGACCTTTTCTCCCTAAACTGTCAGCTCCACAAGGACAGGGTTCTGTCTGTTTTGTGTTTGTGCCTCAGTAACAGACTTGTGTTTGGCTTAGCTTACTATCAAACAACTTTATGTTCCCTGGACATGCATCAGAGATGCTCTGTGGTAGAATCTGGGTTTATAAATGATGTCATCCTCATTATTACCAGGCTTCCCTTCCAGAGCACACTGTGGCAGTGGTGTGAGGGAGATGTGGGAAGGACAGGATAGCCACACTAGTTGCTGTTTTTTATTTTGCCACTCAAAATGAATTGATTACAAGGGATCTTAAATTACAACACGACATGAAGGCAGAGAGAACAGGAAGGCTTACTCTGCATAAACTGGCTTAGGGTAGGCAACGTCTTAACATCTGACTGTAAATCACCAAGCACGGACACGCATGTGCAGGACACGCATGCGCAGGACAGCATCTTCTCAGGCCTGCCCCGGGTCTTCTGAGGAAACGGAAACTGCGGGGGGGAGATCGGGCAGGTTGTCCAGGGCCCCAGTCTCTGCCAAGAAAGAGCCACACATCAGCACACAGGCTCGGTGCGTCACAGGAGGCCTGGGTTAAACCTAGACTTAGCTATCACCTCCTGTATTTCTTGACTCTTAATGATTTAATGCTGGTGCTTAGTAAGCATTTAAAACTGTCACATTTTTAAATTCATACTTTAAAGAAGTATAATTTGTGTTTGAATAATAAAAATTGGTATTTCTGGGTGGTGCCTGTGACTCAGTGAGTAGGGCGCTGGCCCCATATACCGAGGGTGGCGGGTTTGAACCCGGCCCTGGCCAAAACTGGTATTTCCTAATGAAAAAAACAAACTAAAAACCAGAAAATCCTGGCAGGGCAGATCTGCCTGTCATAGGAACAGCCACCCCACTGGGATGGGTTTCAGATTTCTTTTTTTTTTTTTTTTGAGACAGAGCCTCAAGCTGTCCACCCTGGGTAGAGTGCTGTGGCATCATAGCTCACAGCAACCTCCAACTCCTGGGCTCAAGTGAGTCTCCTGCCTCAGCCTCCCAAGTAGCTGGGAC